CAACTGGAGCCCGGCGATCCGCGCAAAGTCGGGCGCGCCGCCCGGTGCGTGCTCCAGATCTACAGACATGCCGTCAAGGAGCTGCCTCAGTACGCTTGTATTCCCTTGCGCTTCAAACCCGCAACATGTGTGGCACTTGACAAGTAGCCCAGCCGCTCTCGAGGCCCATGCAAGAGCCATCGTGGCCCTGAGCGCCTGCGCCGCATCCTGGAAAAAGGGAAGCGAGGTCGCCCGCGAAGGCGGGGCAGCTGTCTCTGGCGACGTCGGAGATGGCCGGAATGATGGGGCGGTAGCCAATGCGCCATAAGAGAGGAGACGCAGTCCCTCATGCCTACTGAGTGCATCAATTTGCGTTTGGAGCCAGTTCCCTGTGTTCATGTGCGCGCCACGGTCGGCAAAAAGGGCAGCGAGCGCGTGGCGTATCCATGCGGGGAAGCCCCACCGTTGGAGCAACTTGCCGATTTTGCATGGAGAGGAGGTCGAAGGCTTTGTCTTGGTAGCAGAAAGCGACTGCCGTGCGCGGTGCGGATGTGAGTTCAGCCGTGCACTCTTGCATGTACTTCTCTGTTGCCGCGTAGTGTCTGCCGAGCATTCTCTCCCAAGTGTCGAATGGCGGGGGCGCCGGGCGTGGGTCTCGGCCGAGATGCTCCGTGGCCGTTCTGATGTTCGGCCCGCGTTGCCCGCCTCAAGGCCGCCTGATCCTGGGAGAGCAGCGGCTCAATGCGTGGTCCAAGCAGGTCGGCTAAGGTGGCTCCGAACAGTCGTCGGAAGCAGGTGGGCAACTGCAGTTGTCGCATGTCAATTGGTAACTCAGCACCCGGTCTCTTTCCTATCCACGCAAGAAGGTGCACCGAGGGGCCAAGTACGGCGGCAATGTCTTGTGGGCTCTGGTCAGCGACGTACCGCGGTCGTGCAATCAGGCAGGCAATGAACCGCGCGCCTGCGTGGTAAACTTCATAAGGTTCCCCGTCGACGCCCGGCGCGCTGCGTGCCGGAGCAAGCGCAGGCGACCCCATCTGGGGGTTGGCGCGCAGTGGTCTTACCGTCCCCCAAGTAGCCGTCGAGAAGATCGTCGGCGCAGGGCGGAAGGTCTGGGGTTGTCATCCGGACGGGGCGGTCAAATATCAGATCTGGTCAAACTCGGCGCGCGTCTCGGTCCAATTGCCGTCAATATCCAGGATGCTGGTAACGTCGTGCAGCTTCTGAACAATTTCTTTGCAAGTCTCCAAATGGGCTGCGAGCGGCTGTCGCTCGGCACCTGGTCCCCGTTCGGACGGGGTAAGGGCGCTGGCGGGCGCGTTTCTGGGCCATCTCAAGGTCCCGTCTTCGGAGCCACAAGTTGGCTTGCGCCTATGTGAGCTCCCTTCCGCCCCAGCCGGGGCGCTCTAACCACTCGGCTAGGGGGCCGACAGGTTGCAATGCACCAGTGCCGCGAGCCTCTTGGGCGAGCAGTGCTCCCTGGCTGGTCGGTTTACAATTCCTGGTCCACTGCTTCCACCGCTGCTGCAAGCTCGACGAGAGCATGCGTCTCCCCGGCATATCCAGAGCAGGCGGATAGGGCAGGGAAGCATCATCTGTCTGTGGCCGTCGAGGCAGATGTGGTTGGGTGCCTACTTCTTCGTCGCCGCCGTCTTGGAGATCGCGTTGGCCCGGCACTAAACCTGCAGCCGCAGGCCGCGCCCAGTCAATGGGCTGTATCAAACCAGTGAGGTCAACCTCCGGATTGGCAGAAAGGTTCTCTCGAGGTAGGTGCACAACCGCCGTAGCTCGGCGTGGGCCTTCGGTGGGGGGCCCTCGGAACTCCGTAGGCGCGAGTGCGTGGTTGCGTCTGGCAATGCGACTGCCGTCGGGATCGAGATATATGATGGCGTGATCCGACAGGAAAAACTTCCACACCTTTCTGGTCTGATAGGCAGCTAGTGACGCTGTGGGGCATGCCAATAAATCGATGGCGGAATCGCTGTCGCGGTCGGCGCGAGTGGGCCAGTCAGCGCCTGCAATGCTTGCGCTGGTGGGGGCAAGGAAATCCCCGAGATTGGCCGCGTCCTGAACTTCTCCCTCGCCCGGGCCTTCGCACTGCAGGTTGACGTCTCTTCCCCGGAAGGTTGGGGCAACGTCGAGCGTTTCAAGTGCCTCGCGGGCCCCTTGTATGGTTTCACTCTTGAGTGACGGTGCAAGATGAATACTGATGAGTCTGACGCGCGTTCCTTACGCGTCGCCGTCTGCCCATACAGCGCATCCTGGGACAAGTGTGCCAGAGGCAAGCACCGGCATTCCATGAGGTATCAAGATAGCTGCCCCTCCTGCGACGCCGCCTCCTGGTCCCCTGAGCGCTGGTGTGGAGACAGGGGCACGTGCTGGTGTGGACACAGCCCAGACGCCACGTTCGTGTTCACACCAGTGTGTCTCTTGTACAACTGGTGGGGATGTTTGGTCTGCGGGCTCGCGAAGCAAGTCGAAAGGTCGAAAGCCGTCCGAACACTAGCTGAGCCGCGACTGGGCAGCGAGATACAGGAGGGGCAAGCGAAGCGAGCGCGCGGGCAGCCACTCAGACGGAGGACCAGGAACGGCACTCCCAACCGGGTGGCGTCGAAATCCCGGCGGCGACCATCAAGTCGGCGCAGCCAAAACGGCGCGGCGGCGCGACCATGAACACGCAGAGGTCGACCACCCGGTGTGAGTCGGCATAAGGCCCGACAAAAAGCGAGCAGGTCCGACAGGCACCCCAAGGCGACATCCGTGCGGTAGGTGACACAACAACAACATCGTGTCAGCGATGGAGTGAAGAGGGGGCAGCCTCGTCACAGACAGGACTGCAAACGGCAGATCCTGTTGTATGTAACTGGTGGGGATATTATTTGGTCGGCGGGCTCGCGAAGCAAGTCGAAAGCCGTCCGATCACTAGCTGGGCCGCGACTAGGCAGCAAGAAAAGAAAGGGGCAAGCGAAGCGAGCGTGCGGGCAGTCACTCAGAAGGAGCACCAGGCGCAGCTAAAATGGCCCGGCGGCGCGACCATGAACACGCAGAGGTCGATCACTCGGCTTGAGTCGGCATAGGGCCCGACGAGAACGAGCAGGTCCGACAGGCACTCCAGGGCGACATCCATGCCGTAGGTGACACAACAGAATCGCATCAGCGCCGGAGTGAAGAGGGGACAGCCTCGTCACAGATAGGACTGCAAACGGCACATCCTCTGGTATGTACACCCGGTGGCACAGGTCAAAAGCGAAGTCCATGCAGGAGAAAGCAACCGACGGGCGCCCAGAGCCACACATGCCTAAATCCTTGCACCGAAGAGGACGGCACCGTAGCGAGACCCCACGGAACCCAAACGGTCACCAGTGGAGGCTGACACCAAGCAGGAGCAGGCCGAGGGCCAACTGGTGACCCATCCCCGGTGTGGTCACGCATGGAATTCGAAGCGAAACCTCACGGAACCCTCCCAGTCACCAGTGGAGGCTGACACCAGACACTGGTTGGGATGTCGATCTGCCAGCGTGCAGATATGCATGGCGTCGGAAGCACCAGGAAGTCGGGACAAACGACGACCAGGGTCAGAAGCCGAGGAATTAATGCAAGGGCGCGAACCCCGGACAACTGCGTGAGTACCAGGGTGGCCGCAGCCAGAAGGACAGTCGGACAAGGTCGAATTGATGCCTCTGGCTGGGATACGCGAAGCGTGAAGAATTCTTTGTGGCACCATGGCCTGCGGCAAACCAACATGTAAAGCGAAGAGTCCGTAAGGCAAGGCCCCAGCCAATCAACTCTGGACGAGGTCGGTTCTCGGTCCAGGGGAGGAGGACGAGGTCGAGGGGAAGGAACAACAGACACATGACAGGAAATGGCACTTGCGCCAGGACATCGTCATTGAATCTCCACTCGCCGCAGAAAAGCTTCCAGATTCCAGGGAGGTGCAATGAATTTGTGAAATTAGTCGACCCTTGGATGACACTCAGCGGGTGAGATTGTCGGCAGAGTGGTGCTAGGGTCACAGTCTCTAAGATAGCCTCAAATGGCTCCAGATAGCTCTAAGATGACCACAACATGCTCCAGATGGTATCAAGCCTCGCGCAAAATTGTCAAACTGTGTTCCGAATGCAATCCAGGGCCCAAGAACCTTCCCAAGAATACCCCCAAGAAGTCAACATTGTCCCAAAACCTGTGGTGTTCGGGAGCACGAGGATGAGCCCCAAAACGGCCCACGAACGCCCCACAACGGGCCAAGAAGGTCGCAAGAGGGCTCCAAGACGCCCCCAGAGGGCACCCGAAGAGGCCCAAGGCGGCCCAAGAGGGCGCCAAGGCGACCCACGGGAACCCCCCATGGACTCCAAGTCGCGCCAAGACAGCCCATCAAGACCCCTAAGGGCCCCACAAAACGCCAAATGCCCCGGTCAGCCCCCCAAGACTGCCCCACATGGCCCCTTCATAATACGGTGTGAGGTTCCCCACATGGTCATACAGCACCAACAAGCATGTGCGACAACGCATCCCAGAAGAGGGGCATCCAGGGCCCCCAACGGGCCAGCGCGTGCGGCAGATGCATATGACAAAGTGTAGTGCCCGACGACAAAGCCTCTTCGTTAACGTCACCCTCGGGCGCACCCTATCCGCACGCCCTCCCTTCCCCTGACCCATCCTGCTGCCTACCCTCCCCCCATCTCCATTCCCCCTTTCCATTCAATCCCTGCTCCACCCACCAACCCACCAACCCACACAACCACACACCACACACATATACACATATACACATACACATGCCGCTGCTCCCCAGACCTCTCCCGGGGTGCGTTCTGACCCGAATTCCGAAACGAATCCAGCGGTGGCGACGAGGACCTCCAGGGAGACCCCACCAAAAAAATGAGGAAAATGAAGCGGTATGGATGCCTTCTTCCCCCTCCGGCACACAAACAGACACACAAACACACACACACACACCAAATGATCCACCCGAGCGGTTTTTGCCCTGCCGTCGGCATCCCCGCGCTGGGGCCCACGCCCTCCTGCAGGTCCTCTTCCGTGGCGTCGAAAGGGATGTTCCCCACAAAGACCTCGGGCAGCAGTTCGGCTCCGCCGCCCACATCGCTTCCAAAGGATCGGGGAGCTGACAAGAAGGGAGGAGAGGAGGATCGAGGAAGGGCAGGCAGCAGGCAGGAGTGAGGAGAACGGCATGAGTACGAGGGGCTGATCCGAGGATGTTCAGCACCGCTCTGCGGCGCTACGGGCACGGGCCTTCTGGCGGACACCGGGGTCGACGAGCAAAAGCCATTGCAAGGTACACCCTGCGAAATGCTCAAGAAATCATGGGTTAAGAAATTCATAGTCTCAGAAGTTGAATAAAAACCCAAAAATTCTATTCAAATCTTAGGATGTACATTGAAACATTAAGAATAATCGAGACTCTGGCCGAAAATTAAGTTTTCTTAAGCATCGCCTAAGGTGTAGAGAAACACTTCACGCACGGTGGCAGGCAGGCGGCGGGCTGGATCGACGAGGGCACCCGACGACGGGCCAGACGGTCGAGAGATGCAGGAGCAAAAAGCGAAGGAGGCGAGGCACAGCGTCGACAAACAGATTGGCAGAGTTTTGGGGGCAAAGTGCTTCTTGCCGCATCCAAATCTAGGCGACGAGCCCAGGGGGGAAATGAGAAGGAGAAGGCCTTCTCAGAAGGCCGCGGGACTTCTTAGAAGTCCGGGGGGCTTCTGAGACGTTTCCTTGGCCTATTTCGAATACAGACAGAACTTCTGAGAAGCCCTCTCAGAAGTCCAGAAACTTCTCAGAAGCCTCGGAAGTCCCGCCCCTTCTCATTTCCCCCCCGCGCCCGCCGCCGAAAATCTTAAACACAGAAGCAACGTTGGGAGCAAAATGCCTGAGGGAGGCGGGTTTACAACGCGCGTCCTGGCAGCAGGCCGAGGAGCTCGGCCGACAGGGGGCTGACAAGACTTGTCGGGGGCACCCTCTGGCGACCCCTGGCTCTCCCAGGGTGCTCCTAAGGCGCTCGGTTGCGCTCACGATGCGGGGCCAGGGGGAGTGCTGTAGGAGGCGTAAGGCTCTGTCGGCTGGGGCGGCAAGGAACGACAGAGGAGGGCTGCCTGCCTCCTGCCGAAAGCTCCTTCTCTCCTGCCTCCCCCCTGCGAAAGTATCGGCCTCCCACCTCCTTCCTCCAAGTTCCCTCGTCCCTCGTCCCTCGTCCCGTCTCCCGTCTCCCGAGGACGACGACGACGACGACGACGACGACGACGACGACGACGACGGCGGCGGCGAGACGGCGGCGGCGGCGGCGGCGACTACGACGCACTGCGGATGCCCCATGGTGTATGTGCGTGTTGCGTAGGCCGAGCGTAGTCGACGACGACGGCGACGGGGCGACGACGGACGAACGACCGACCGACCGACGACGACGACGACGCACTGCGGATGCCCCTATTAGGGGTGGGGGGTTCTGCGCAGGCCCGGTGTAGGTCGACGACGACCAGCGACGGGGGCGACGACGGACGACTGACGACGTGCTGCGGATGGCCCCTTGGGTGGAGGGGGGGTTGCACGGGGCGGAAGCCGTGGACGACGACAAAGAGGACAAATACGCACCCACATACAAACGTACAGACCGACGGATCGACCACGACGGCGACGGAGAGGTGGTGGGGGCAGAGGTTCAAAACAAACGAATCGGCCCCATGATTTGATCAGTGTACGCCACGCTCAGGGGTGGTGGAAACCGCATGCGTTCTGCGAGACGCCACGGATGAAACCAGACGCAAGGGGGACGCGGAGGCGGCGACGGAGGGGAGGGGAAGGCAGACACGCTCGCGCGCGAGAGGAATGGCAGGCAAGGAGACGGCAGCTGGGCGGCAAAAGAGGCAATCACAAAAACAAGCATTTTCCCCGACCGACAGGCCGGGGTCGTTAGATTTTGAAAACAGACATCCCGACCAATCCACCCTGCATACCGCGGCCGCCAGGCCCCAGGTCCCCCGAGTGCCCCCGAGTCCCGCTTTGCGCCACTCTGCATACCGTGGCAGCCAGATACCCAGGTCCCCGAATATCCCCGAGAGTCCCTCCTCGCGCCAATACCGCAGCCGCCAGATCCCCAGGTCACGCGAGTGACCCCGAAAGTCCCTCCTCGCGCCACTCTGCATACCGCGGCCGCCAGATAACCAAGGCCCCCCGAGTGTCCCCGAGAGTCCCGCCTCGCGCCACTCTGCATACCGCGGCCGCCAGATAACCAAGGCCCCCCGAGTGTCCCCGAGCGCCCTGCCTCGCGCCGACAAATAATTACATGACAGAGCGACATTATAAAGTAGCAAACTTAGTACAGCATAATATTATGAGCTATGGCAGAACATACCATAAGACCACACCACCTAACATCACAGGGGTAGGAGGGGCGGGGCGGGGGGGGGGCGCTGTGCGATGCGGGGTAAAGTGGTTGGAGCGGAAGGGGCACATGGCGGAGCTTCCACTGGGCGGCTGAAGGGGGGTAGGAGAAAGGAACGGAGGGGGGGGCGCGGTGCGACGCGAAATGAAATGGCCGGGGCGATGGGGCACCGGGCGGAGGTTCCACTGGGCCGCTGGGGAATCATGGGGAGGGGTGGGAGGGGGGCGCGGGAAGAGGGGGGGGGGGGGCGGTGCAACGCGGAATAAAGTGGTCGGAGATCTGGACACCCTGTGCAAGATAATAAACGTACATCTGAGTGTGGACGAGTATGTATATGAGTGGGTATGAGTGTGAGTGCGTCTGGGTGTGAGGAGGCGTCGTGGGATTACTCTGCGCATTCGTATGCTGGAGTCAGAGAGTGAGTGAGTCTGAGCATGAAGGAGAGGGATGAAACGGGAAGGTGAAGGTGAGAATGAAGGTGGGTGAAGCAAAATCGTCCCACTAATCCAAACAAACACATGCCGTCATGGAGATAATGTGAAGTAAGCCCTTGAAACGATCATGCGCTGGGGCCTCCCTCCACTGCCCGAACTCCCCAGCGGCGACGCTGGCATGGTGCTGCTGCCACTGACGCAGCTGATGTTCGTCGATACGTTTGCCACGGTGGTCGCATGCCGAAAATAAACCAGGCAAGCGCAGCACCGCCAGCTCAAAAAGGTTCCATTAAACTACGTATAGTTATGAGGGGGGATGCGACCCCTCCACGGACAGGTACGAACTAATCTGCTCACCATGCCCTTGGGCTTCGTTCTAGCTACATTGGCCCCTGAGCCGAATTGGCCGCCGAATGTCCAAGGGAATGCAGGCCCCATGCCGAAAACGATGAGAGTTGGGCCCGCTCGACAACCGAATGAGCTGGATCCTGGTCCATTCGGCAGCCGAAGCGGCTCAAAGACGCCGAATTGGCTCAGGCGGCATTCCTGGGGTGGCCCATCCGAGGCTGGCAATTGACACTCGATCGACGGGTGCCTGTCCAGAGCCCCGAGGCGGGGGCCGTGCACTTCTTGTCTCTCGCACTGTCCTTGCCCCTGTAGTTTGGCGGCGGGGAGGACCAGTCCATCGTGAGCACCTCGCGGGGCTGGGGCAGGGACGGGGAATGGGGAGACCGTATCGATCGACAGCCTCTTGAACAGATCGCTGATCGACTGACTGCTGAAGGGATTGATGAACGAGGCGACGCGCGCCGTCTGCTTGAAACACTTGAGCAAGGAACGCCGAAGAACACTGGCGGAACTCGGATCAGAGTCGATCATCAGATATTGCTCTTTGGCGAGACGTTCGCTCACTCTGGTCCTCTCTTGTGCCACAACCTCTGGCCATCGCTCGGACGTCCGATCCCTGTGTTTGTTCGGTTTCGTGCGTGTTTTTTTTGCCAAATGATCAAGGATGCTCCTCGATGGCCCTCGCCGAAGGAACAATGCACACGTCCGAGCGATGCCAGGACCTTCCTGTACCAATACCGCACATGCATTGATAACCAACCTATGCTCATACCCGTCCCAATAACATCGGCCACGGCCTGTCATTAACCAACACAAGTTCTCTCACTCGTCAAGCGGCATAACAATGAGGGAACATTCTCCCACAATTCCTGTCAAAATCAATCATCAAACATGCACGCTGCAACCAAACACGTGACCGTGTGCGAGCACCCCATGTTGCATCTGTCTGGCAAAGATGGGGGGGGGCCATCACAGATTCCGCTGAGCACTGGCCAACCGCCCCTGTGAACAGAAGGCACATTCGAAACGATCCCGGGAGCTCACGCAACACACCAACGGTGTCGACATGCTGTCCGACGTGTGCTGCCACGCGCAAATGGCGCAACCGGCGCACTCCGCGCGCGGCGCGCACGTGGCGCGCCTGGAACAGAGGGAACTCTTCGCGCACATGGCACACCTGCCGCACGTGGAGTGCTTGGCCCACCGGGCACGAGTGGCGCACCTTGACAGCGTGGCGCACCTGTCGTCTGCGATGTCTTCCAGTGGCTGTCCAAAGGATGCAGGCCGTCGCTGATGCTGAGTCTCGGGTGCCACTTATGTGGTGGTGGGCGGGTGGGGGTGAGTGAGACAGCTGGTGGCATTCCCGTTGAAAACTTGACCCGTACCAATACTCAGCCGCTCCCACATCCACACACACACCATACCCACACCCGTATCCATGCAAGTGCCCATTCCCCCGCCCATATCCTTACCCCTACGGGTGACCATGCCTAATGCTGCGGGCCATATGCATACACGTGCAAATACCACATGCCCGAACACTTCGCTCTGCTCCTGGACGATACCGACACGCACATACACAAATGGCTGGCCGCCGACCAGTTCCAATGCCAGCCCCCTCCCGCCGTACCCAACAGACCACACGTTACAACCATATATGTGGCGGCACACGAGAGAATGAGACCGCCGCCATCACTTTGCGTGGCGTTTGTCAAGGACGGTGAAGGGCTCATATCCCACCAACCCTCTGGGCCTAGATGGTTTAGGGCACAAGTTCTTCCAAAACAACCCGTTTTCCGATTATTCCCGTGATGGGCGAGGAAAATTCAGTATTGACATGGTGGGCGCTTTTTTGGAGTGTCCAAGATGGCTCCAATATGGGTCCTTGATGACTCAGAACGGCCAGAAAGCTCGCACAAGATAGCCAGAATTTGCCCGATATGGTCTCTGGCATGGCTCCGCGATGCACTAAGACGGCCCCGTGATGTCTGGAGGTGGCCAACAACCAGAATGCGGCTACCGCACCGATCCAACGACGGAAAGTCCTACTGGTCCAATGAATGTTGAAGCTTGGAGGCCGCCTGGGGGTCTGACATGGCTTGGACCCCAGAAAATCGTTCAGGAGGGGGGCTGACGCCAATTCCAACCAAAATCGGCCCCAGGACCACTTCCCGGATCCATCTGGTGTAATTCTTCGCCCTGTCGGGGATCTTCTGACCCGGGTCAATCCAAACCCGGGTCAATCAGGCCTGCAAAATCCTGCAAGATCCTGCACCCAAACCCGGGTCAATGCGAAGGATCCTGCAAGATCCTGCAGGATCCTGCACCCAAACCCGGGTCAATGCGACCCTGGCCCTGCAGGATCCTGCAAGATCCGGCGCTCTGGCTGACCCCCGTTTGCACTGACCCCCGTCTCGAGGCTCCCGACCCTGGATCCGTTTCACGGTCCCGGGGCCAGAAGACGGCCCAAGGCCGACAAAGACAAGAAGCCCTCCCGAACCCAGAACCTCGAGCCTCGCTCCCTCCCTTCCTGCCGGCCAGAACCCGCGGTGGGCCGCCGCAGGGACCCCCGGGCGGCTCCAGGTTGGCAGCCTCGTCTTTTCGGCCTCTGGTCGGCTGCGGAGGCCTGAGGATGGCCCCGGGATGGCCCGAGAAGAGCCGCAGGCGGGCCCCAGAAGAGCTCCATGCAAGGCCCCACGGGCCCAGGAGATCATCCCAGGAGAGCTCCACGAGGGGGGAGGGGGGCGACGCCAATTCGGGCCCCCCTCTGTTTGGGGCGATGGGTTCCAGGACTGCCCCAAAGTCTCGCAACAGGACGCGCTAAGAAGCCCAAGGAAGACGTTCAGATGGTTGCCTGAGACCTCGAAGATCTCCAGGTGGCCACTGTGGGGGCTGCTCGGGCTTGACCCCAACTTCGGTGTGATGGGCGTCTCCCGTCTTCATGTCACTAATGTCCCAAAAATAACAAACATATACGCGACAACTCGGAAGGGAATCGGTGCGGAAGGGCTGGTGGGGATATGCATGGCGTGCGTCGGCCCACATCCGACGTGCGTCGGCCCACATCCGTGTCCCAAATCTATGCGAGTTGAGCAGGCGTCCACACCTGACAGGTTCCCAACTCACTAACCCACCGGCACTTGCACTTGCACTGGTCGGGCGTGATGAACAGGATTGGCGTGCTGCCCTCTCCATGCCGCAGAGTGCACTGACGAATCTCGTCAACTCTGAGCGCCTGGCGCACTCGGAGCGCGTGGCGCACCCGAGCGTCTGGCACACCACGTCGCGCACCTGGCGCACCACGTCGCGCACCCGGCGCACCCGGCGCACTCGGCACACGTGGCGCGCCTGGAGCACCAGGCGAACCTGGCGCGCAGGGCGCTCCTGGCGCACCTGGTGTCGGGACTGGCCTGCCATGCCTGTCCATGGACGCGACCGCTGCCGATGCTGAGCTCCAATGCCCATGCCATAACCCGTATCTTTGCTCCCTCACCTCACTACCCGCACTCTACTATTTACAAGGAGCTGCAGGCCTCCCTATCCCTCACACCCGTATTCTGGCACTCTCGGCACAGACACCGAGTAGGTATGTAGGTTCTCTGGTGTTCGCATCGTAGAAGCCCCCACGCCCCCCAGTGAAGATTCCCGATGCCCCACACCGCGAACAGCGACCTCACATCCGAACACATACTTGTCTCTCAACCTGTCCCTACGAGTACAGCTAGGAAAATCGTAGCCCCAGGTGTCGCAGGGGATTACTGCAGGAACGCCGCTGTGCAGGAGAGCAGCAGCTGCTCACCCCGAGGCCAGTCCACAAGAAACCTTCCACAAGAAACCCAACGCTGAGATCCCAGGACGTCTCTCAATTGTTGGTGTGGGAACGTCACGCCTTTCATCGCAAAATCATCGGAACCCCAGAAACCCAGGGAACCCTGGAGACAAGCACGGTGCCTCTTGGCATGGCCCCCCACTGCACATGGAATGCGGAGGAGGATGCTGAAGCGGGTGGTGCCACGGCACCCAACGAGGGAGACAAAGGAACGGGCGCACAGGAGCAGGAGCAGGAGCCGTGCCCCTGCGTCTCGATTGAGCCTACCCTTAACACCAGAGTCCTCTGCGATTGCAGCAAAGACCATGGGACCCGATGCGGGCTTGACGAGAAGCGGCTGGCAACAACAGAGGCACGCGCACCTCTTTGTCAAGTGCTTTGATGGCCTGCTTGCCGAGCTCTGGATCTACGAAAGTGGCCTCTGCCTTGTTGCCGTCGTCCAAGACCTGTGCGGGAGACCCCCAGGCCTCAATCAGTCCCGCTCCGTTGGGCGCATGCCAACGTGGATTGGATA